TTCCCTCCTCCCATTAATTCCTAACACTTCGACCTACTTCCCCCGTCTTACTAACTTCTAACAATTCCGCCAAATTCTAAATGTTTCTATACTATCTACTTTCTTACTCATTAACTAACTTGCCCTCCTTTTCTCTCCACTAATTCTCCCTATATAAACCCTTCCTAGATCCAGGCCGGCAGTCAGTTAGTTAATTAGTCAGTTTGGAAACCGTCAGCTTCAACGCCGTCTCTCCAAACGCTACCAGCCTCAGCTTCAGCACTGTCGCCTCCCCGTCTGCCGTTGTTATTCTGTTGCACAGCCTGTGCGGTGCCCTGGCTTACCGTTCACGCGTCATTTTCGACATTTGCTCTGGGGTGAGGTGTGTATTAGAAGAATAAACCGCTGGTATTTCTTCTCTGTCTACTGCTGCTGCAGTCAAGGACCACGTAACGGGCCTAACAACACCTTTTCTTTTCTCCTTTCCCGCTTTTTCTTAGTTTCTTCCTTATTTTCATCTTTTACCTTTACTTCTCCTTTAAGCACTGCAACCATCATACTGACGAAGTCCTGTTGCAGTGATTGAGTTAAGGCATATATGACTTATTGGACCAAACGTCTTATCTCGTTCTTACGTCCTGATTTTATCTTCCATTTCTTTACCAATCAAGCATCCGGAGCTGACCTGGCTGCCGCAGTCTGACTACACCCATTGGTAATCATTCCAGCACTTTCCTGCGGCGGCCGCGGTCCACTGGATGTGCGCCAGGAATTCTACTGCATGAGATGTTCGGTGCAAGGGTATCTCAAACACCGCGGAAACATCCATAGCTGTTATTCCAAATTTTTTTTCAATATGTTTTCTACATGTCATGAAATATTATCAATGAAATTCGCAGTGTTCAGAATTAAGTACATTGGCGAAAGTGGAAGAAGAGGCAGTGCACCTGTTGTCACACGAGCTACATCGTATGGAACGAACGCAGGCACTGATCCAGAAAGTGTAAGTTAGAGGCTAATCAGTTTCACTTGGGTTTCTTTCAGCCACAGATTTGTCCAGTTAAAAATCTCTCCGACTTCCCAGTCAGTCTTTTTGTTCATCGACTTGCGTTGTTATTTAATGTGTTCTTTATATGATAAGCTTTTTCACTTTTTCCATGCCCTAGGCTTGTTCGTTTCTTTTTTCACTTATTGGAATTAACTGTCTTCCTTACCTCTGTATATAAGCTCTTTTTTTTTTTCTTTCTGAATGGTTAAGCAATAACAAATGACATGAAATGCCTCTAGCTTGTTGAGCACGAAATAACCTAATTTAGTGGTTCCAAGTGCTCGTGGGTAATGACCTAGCACCCTTCTGTCCTCGCTCTTTTCACTTCTTTTGCGCCGTTGTTTGAACTATGCTCCAAGTTTTCGAAGCAGATGGATATGTCTGAAGTTTGTAATTAATTTTTAGAAGCGAACTGAATAATTATCTTAATATTCGCGTGATAGTGAAATCGACACTTACAAAAAACGCGAAAGAGTTGCAAAAAACGGACAAGGATTATGCTCTGCTCGAGCATTTCAAACTGTATACCAGCCTGGAGAAAGATGCTCGTAACTTGCTGCCTTTCCAGGTTCACTTTGAGATACGTTAATTTGATATTTTGATCGGCTAACACTTCACGGTGGCGTTGATTTGCACCATCAGCGAAATTGGCTGCCTTTTTATAGGTGTTGTGATCAAAATTTCGTCATCTGGCAGTCAGAGGACGAAATTTCGATCACAGCTTTCTCAGCCTCCTTTTTTTTCGTCCTGGAACAAAATATCAGATGTTTTGCCGTTTACACGAACTAGTAGCCATTCTGTTAAACTTCTTCGCAACGGCAACCACTCATGCCCCAGCAGTCAACTGACTAGGAGTTTCTTTAGGAAGTTGCAGTCTGGTTGCTGAGAGCTACTCCAGAGACAGCAATTTGACTATCGAGTTTGAGTTCTTCCTTTTTTTGAAAAGAATGTGCAAGCTTTTATTGTAATGCAAAATTTTTGAAGGTGCTAGCACTAGAACGAGCTGCGACAAAGAACATCATAAGCTGGAAAGTGCATGTTAGCGATACGATCAAAAACTTCCATCCAGGCTCGGCACTTCGTTTTCATCCTGCACACTCGGAATTACTGAAGAAAAGCGTCCAGGATTCCATAAAGCGCTTTTTGATACCGTCCATAGAGCGTAAAGTTCGGTGAGTTAAAAAAAAGCATGAACCAATCTGGCAATCTGACTTATACATTGCTTTTGAGGCGTTGCTTGCTGATAGAAATTTAGGACAAAAAGTTAAGGTACCCAGGTGTGACGCAGCTCGCTCGTTTTGCAAATTCGTGATGATGAGCTGTTTTATTGCTTTTTTGTTTGACCCGTACTGAGGTTAAGCTGTTTTTTCCCCTCTTCCAGGAGGAAATTACTGGACAAAGCAGAGAATGCAGCAATTGACTGTTTTTCGAAAAATCTTCGGGAACTGCTTCTCACAGCACCCTTGAAAGGTTATAACGTACTTGCTGTTGATCCCGGCTATGCGAATGGATGTAAATGCGCATTGGTTGATGAAAATGGTATCTTTTTTTTTTTTGTATGAAATAGCTACTGGCAAAATTTTTGAAGCGTAATGTATGGATTACATACTAATAACAACCCTTGACGCCATTCCAGGCGTTATCATTGGAACAGCGTTATTTCATCTTGTACGTATTGACCGAAATTGTTGGCGCGCAGATGCTCGTGCTGAGAACACTTTGACAGCGTTAGCGGCAAAATCAACAGGATCACGTCTGATTGTCGCAATCGGTAATGGCTTAGGAAGTCGAGAAGTGCAGCACTCTGTCGCGGAACTGATTCAGCGTCATCGGCTCAATGCACAGTTTTGGTTTGTTAAGAAATTTTTCGCAAATTTGATTTTTCAAGAAACAGTTGAGGAGATCTTGGTTTCTTCATTGTTCGTAATTTTTAGTGTTGTATCTGAATGTGGCGCTTCAATCTACAGTGCAACAGATATTGCAGCTGAAGAGCTCCCGGATATTGATATAAATTTGAGAAGTGCAGGTCAGGTTGTTCTACCTTCTTCGGAAATCCTGTACGCAGAACTGCTACATTTATGATACATCAAGTAGCATGAAGTTACTTTCTGGATCAAAGTAGTTGTTCGTTTCTGATTTTTTGGCAGTGAGCATGGAAATAAAGACCACAGGGTCGTTTTCTAAGAAGACTTCGGGGAACTGTATATCCGGAGTTCGGTGCTCCTAAAAATTGCTTTGAAATTAACTTTTTCATGCAGCTGACAGATGATGACCGTAATGGAATCACAAATATGACTTAGAATTACACAAAGTTACGTAGGAAATGCGACGTGTCCAGCACTTCTGTTCAGAACAAAGACGAGGAAACGTTTTGCCATGTTCAGTTGCAGTTTGACCATCGGAAGGCGCAGTTTCAATTAGACCAGCCATGTGGAAAGTTGTCAGCTAGAGATGCCAGCTAATTAAGATATCAAAACAAACAAAAAGTAGTCGTAAGCACAGTGGATCAGCTTTCCAACGTCTTCTAGAACTTCAACAAAAAATTTTATGATATTTGCAGTATCACTGGCAAGGCGTATTATTGATCCTGTATCAGAATATGTAAAAATTGCGCCAAAGCATCTAGGAGTTGGATTGTATCAGGTTCATCACGTTTTCATTGTTTTACCAGTTTGTCAAGTACCACTATCCAGCGGTCTCGACTTCCTTTTTCCTAAATTTTTTATTCTGAGGCTTAGCAGAAGAATTAGTGTCATACTTAACAGCTGGCCACTCCAATCAAAAAACGTCCAAAAACATTTAAGTGACAAGGTATGTGGGGACGGGGAGGGGGGAGGGGGGAGGGGGACGTGGACGGGCTTCATCTTAATAACCGTTTCGCCTTGTCTAAGTAGCAGTGACTACTACGCACACGGTAGTTTTTGACAAAAAGCTTGTAAGCTACGGCACGTCGTAATTCTGGGGCTGCATTATTACCTTTTCTGAGCAGCTTTTCAGAGTTGGTCGAGTGAAAAGAGAAAAGCAGACGAAATATAAGAGCGAAATTTTTTTTTTTTGCATTGGTTTACTGCAGATAATAGTTTTGCTGAAACTTTTTTTTTCAAAAATCAGGTGAAAATTTCCCAAATTGTTTGACATTTTGCAGCATTCGGTGAATGAAAAACGCCTTGATGATATGCTGGACATTGTTGTACGTGAATGCGTCAGCAATGTTGGCGTTGATGTGAACGTAGCGCCAATGCAAGTCCTCCAGTAAGCTTTGATTATTCGTTGAGCTGTCGTTTTATCGTAGTGCATTTTCATGCTGTTAGCGTCATGACTGCAACTTGGCGATTCTGTCGTTTGTTTACCCGTTTTACTTTTTGTTGCTTTTTTAATGGCAAATGCTCCTTCCCTTCACTGCCTTTCATTAAAGAAGCAGTTTTTAAATGGACAAGGTTTTTATTGTTGCAGAAATCTTTCAACCTTGGAAATGCCCTTCATTGTTGGTGCATTTTTATTTTCGAATTTTAAGGAAAGTGGCTGGATTAAATAAGAGAACAGCTGCAAACATAATTAATTGTCGACAAGTTAATGGGCCGATAAGAAGCAGAGAACAGCTGAAGGTGCAGAAGTTTACTTTTGCAACATGCCAAATGCTTCAACAGCAGCACCACAAACTATGATAATCTTTTCAAAATTTTCAGCAAATCAAGGGAATCGGTCAGAAATGTTTCGAACAGTGCGCCGGCTTTTTGAATGTGTATAACGCTAAAGAACCTGCTGCACCATCGAAAAAAAAGCGAAAGTTGGACTGCGAATTCAATCCACTGGATGCAACACCTGTCCATCCGGAGAGCTATAACATTGCTAAACAGTTAAAAGCTTCATTTTCTCATCAGTCTTTTTCAATTTATTGTACTTCCCTAGCACAGAAAAGAAAAAATCATTTGTATTTTCATTACTTTCATGCCCTGGTCAACGGTCGTTACATCTTTGTGAACCTTTCGTAATCACTTTGACCGAAGCTGCATGAGCTTTTGGCCTAGCCTACTACAATCCCGGTTTTCCTCGGCTCTTTCTGTCCGCTCCTTCGCAGAGCATAGTAAAGTTCCCACATTCCTTCCACCGCTTCCCTGGTGCTTTAACTAGCCCGATAGAAATCCTCCTACAGTTCTCCATAATGTTCATCAATTTTAGAAAAAACTGTACTTGAATTTACTCCCCTTAATTTGGATTAATTGTGAATCTTGTTTCCGAAGCGGAAGCCTTTCAGTGCAAAGAAACGAGGTCCGATTTTTCACATTTGACTGCATAATTTAGGATATTGGAGATTGCGGGTGCTGATGTGACGTACATTGGCCGGAGTGTTTTGCCGGAAATGTTAGCAACTGTGGAAGCCGAGATTCGAAAACGTGGACCGGAATGGGTCGTAGTTTGGGATCTGTTAGCGAATCCATTTACGAGGAAAAATGCTCCGAAACTTTTGGTATGTTCTAGTTGCATTGTTATCGTGTTACCAGTTTTCACACTTCTTAATTCGCGACCGTACAACGATGCTGTAAAAGAGATTTTCTTTTTTTTTTTTCGAAAAAAGAGTGCCAGTTTTTCTTTTTTTTTTCTAAATGTAATCATTTGTAAAGAGGAAGCTATTATGCAAGTACTCAGTTTGAAAACTGAGTTACTTGCACTTTCAGTATTTCATGAGCCAGCGTCTAAATTCATTTTTTTGAGACAGAAATGGTGGAAGTAAAGTCGTTGAAAGAGGGCGATGTATTGGAGGGGGTTGTACGAAATCATGCTCAGTTCGGGATCTTCATCGACATTGGTGTTGGATTTGATGCTTTGGCACATTCGTCAACACTTTCCGCAATGATTCCAGAAGTAAGGAACTGTTTTTTTAGCAATAATTTTCTACTGTGTTTGGGGAAATATGGCTAGGTGGAAATGCCATCTGAAATAATTTGCTTATTTTAGGATATTCTTTTAGAAGATTTAAGAAGCTGCATGCAGTCATAATCGACCCTTTCTTTTTTTCATTTGTTGTCTTCCTCAAAATACAGTTATCAGACTGACTAATTTTCAGGTGAACGCCACAGTGAAAGTGCGAATTTCCCAAATGAACCTGGAACGAAAGCGCATTAGTGTCGTTTTGATCTGACCTCAAGTCTTTGTCACTCACTGTCTGTACTAATATCACACGCTTGATAAAACGCTTGACGTTATTGAGACGCGACCCATTCCACGCAACATAAAACGTTTTGCGGCTTGGATTAATTCCTTTCAAATATTAGCTTGACTAATTTCTCCCTCACTTACGCACCCTGTTCATTCTGACTTCGCCTTTATTGTTGTTATCGCAGTTGTGTAAGACGTCTCCTCTGCAACTTGAAAAGTGAACAATGTTTCTCAGTCTTGGTCACATTGGTTTGACACCGTGCTTTGCTGTTTTCGCTGTTAGTAAAACTGTCATTCGTTTCTCCGATTTCATTGGTCAGCGCATATTGCAGCATTGCCGATGTCCTCGGAATGTTAAATTGAAAGGTTATTGGCCAGTCTTAGTTCCGCTTGATTGGAAAACAGTTTCATAACTGATGAAAGCAGAGGAAAAGTTGCTATGGTTACGGGGCATCGGCTGTCTACATATGGCAAAAAGAAGTAGCAAAACAATTGTTCAAATAACTGGTTTGTGGATTAGCATCACTGTTAAAAGGAGTAAAATTTGCTAGGTTGGATGTTTTGCTATAAAGCAGTTGTTGTTGCAGATGATATTTGCGGATAAAAAAAAAAAAGAAAAAACCACGCAGATGATTCGCAAAGAGTGTTGATATCCACTAATCTGATATCATTTGGAATTAGCTAACTTTGGGCAGGAGGCGACTGCATTTAAGCAACATCCGTAGCTCCAAATAGCTCATAGGGCTAAAATATGTGTCCCGTTTGTAAATATATCTCTATTCATTCTTTCATTTCTGAATAGTTATTTCTGGGAGTTCACAGATCTCTCACTCAGTAACGTGTATTTCTTACTTTACTATGTATAAATAAGCCTATGCTGAAAAAAAAGCTTTTTTCGAAGCGTTTATTCACACGGCTAACAATAGTGTTCACCGAATATATGGACAGTACAGAACACTCAGTCCGAGGGCATGGTCCCTACTCAACCTGGGGGCGTGGTACGCAGAGCACTCAGTCCGGGGGCGTGGCCTCCACTCAGTCTCGGGCATGATCCTTTTTTTCGATGCACCAATACCTAAATTGGGCGGGGCGAGGGAGCTCACAGTTGTTTTTGTAGAATTTTGCACTAAATATTACGGTAGCGATGCAATCCGCTTGTCATCTCAGTGTATTAATTTTACATTGTCTTTTAGCTCATTTTCTTGTTATTGGTGCAGCTACAGTGACTATCGTCCAACAACATATGCCATATTCTGTTGAATGCACTTCCCCATTTGCCAAAACACAAAAAAAGCAAAATTAAGGGTTTAGGCCAATTTGTGCTGGACGTCAATCGCTCTTGTTTATAGATGCAGCTAGAGAATATTATGGAATGACTCGGTATTTTGCATCAAAGTGAGTGGGAATGGGTGTATTCGCAGGATTCAGTGGAAGGACCCGTTGTGCACCATGTATCACTTTTTCCTTTACCGGGCCTTTTTCTTCGTTTCCTCACTCTGAATATGTTAAATCAGTTCATCCCTTTTTTTTTGTTCCAAATTTCAGCCTTTGCAGTTCAGACATGTGTCGGATACCAGTGAAAGGCCGAGCGGTTACCAACAAAAGGCCAAAAAGCTGATAGCGAAAAAACTGACATATCTGAACTTATTTTATGGGTGCGTGCTATTCGCATCTACATTCGGAGTGAATTTTATTATCCTCTGCAAATCAGGAAATAATTGTTCAAATCTCAAGGAAGGGAGCCAAGTGTAAGGCAAAACACTAAGAAATAAAACGGCTTAAAACAACGGAAAGTCGTGAAAGCGCGAATTTACATTTGGGCAATTAAATGGCCGCACTCAAAAAAAAAA